ATGGGATGTTCTCTGCTCAATTCTTTTTTTTTTGGTTTTTCTCCGGTACCGGGAACCGAACTCACGACCTTGCGCTTGCCAGGCAGGTGCTTTGCCGCTGAGCTAAATCCCCAGCCCCTCAAATACAATTTCAGACACAACTGTAAATGATAGTATCATGATCACAGTGAATGACTTAATGGAGCATTTGTCATTTATAAGATATTCATCCAGTGGAGTTTATCTCTATATTGGCCAAGCATTTCAGTGTTCCTTATATTTATTAAAGTGAGATTCTGCCTTTATTACTGCAGTTGTTATGGCTTCTGTTGCTGTCAGGCTTTACAAGGGAAACAATTTAATACTGGACACATAGTTTATAGGATTTTATAATATTCACCCAAAGAGTCAAATGCAAAAGAGTATGGGAGATCTGTCCACACAGTAGAGACCCAAAGAATCCAGCTGAGGGCCTGGATCTTGTGGCAGTATCCTGCACAAGTCCAGCTGAAGATCTAGAGCCCATGACAATGTCTCATGCAAGTCTGTATCAGGGATCTGCACTGCGAAGGCCCGAGGGTCAGTGATGGAAGCTAGAAAGTTTGCACCAGAAGAATGAAGGATCTGTGTCTGTAGGCTGAAAAATCTGCACTGGAGCTAGGAAGCAACACAACAAAGTAAGGACCAGAGTTCCCCCCAAAAAAGTACCACAGCCATCCTCATCAAGTGAGGTCCCAAGCTCTTCCAGTGATGATAACAGCCAAGTTCATAGCAGAAAAGCCAGCATGACAAACTTTTCCAGGAGAATCAACAGCACACCATCTTCCCTTCCAGAGCCAGGAAGCAATGCTCAAAGTAAGGACCAGAGCTCCCCCAAAGTGAATTGCAGCCCTCCTCAGTGACAGCAAGGCCCCAGGCTCCTCTGACAAAGAGAGCAGCCGAATTCATATCAGGGAGACCAGCACAATAAGCTTCTCCAGGAGAATTAACAGCACACCATCTTCCCCTCCAGTTCTTTTTTTATGCTATTGGCAACAATCCTGGGGGCCTGTGGGCCTCCCACACCCAGCACCACACTGATTCAGGTCAGCTGGGTGTTATAAGATGCCCATTAGTTAATACACCACAACGCACCCCTGGTCAACTTGATAACCAGACATATTTTCTTAAACCATAGCCTCCAGTGGCAGATTTGTGAAAAGTCAACATGTCTTGGTCTGTTCAGACTTACATTAATATAACAGTTACATATATACAATTCTTACTGCACTCATTTCTGCACCAAAAGCAAAATATCCAAAGGGTGATCAAAATTCAAGGTTAAAACCACAATATTTTGACTAATTAACCTGGTTACAAACATATCTAAAAACTACATTAAAACATACTAAAAGAGCTATTCTTTTCTTTTTTTTTTTTTGGTACTGGGAATTTAACTTGGGCCCTTGTACTTGCTAGGCTGGCACTGTGCTGCTGAGCTACAACCTCAGTCATCCCATTAACTTATCCATTTGTTTGTGTTTTTTGAGACAAGGTGTCATTATGTAGTTCAGACTGGCCTTGAACTCACTATGTGGCCTAGGCTGGTCTTGAACTCACAGCAATCCTCCTGCCTCAGCCTCTTGGGATTACAGGCATGTGCTATTACGCCCTGCTCCTCCCACTAACTTTTAACAACAGGGCATGGCAGCACTAAGAAACAGGAATCTCCTGCATTTTAAATATACTCTTCCCTTCAGGTGAGAGGCTTCAGTTTATAGTTCCATTGTCCTGTTCCTTCTCAACAAATACGTTCTCCTGCTTCAGCGTTGTAGTCCATAGCTCCCCTGGCCAAATGCTCCAAATCACCTTGATGGCTCTTTGCTCTTAATTTTAAATTTAGATCTGGCAAAAGCTCTCAGTAGTAACTATGCCACCGTCCCAATAGTAGACAGCAGTGAAATTTTTCTGCCACCCAAGCAGTCTCACTAAACACAACCAAAATGCAGACCAGCTTTCTGCCAAAGCACAGAATACACCACCTGGGATCCAGCAGCCAATGTAGTCCTTCTCACTGGAAGCCTCCTGAGCTTCATCCTAACCAGCAGCATTTCCATCTGATTTTCTAGGCTCTGACCAGAGTCTCCAATATAGTTCAGAGCATGTGGGGGCTACCTCTTTGGCCAGTCTTTCAAACCCTTTCTAAATTAATTCCCAAGGCTCTTAGGCTACATGGCCAGGCAACATCACAGCAATGACCCCACTTTCCTAGTACCAAGTTCGTTACAGTCAGGGTTTACAAGGGAAACAATTGAGTACAGAACACATAATTTCAGGATTATTTAATAATATTCACCCAAAGAGTCAAATGCAGAAGAGTACAGGAGATCTGTACACACACTAGAGGCCCAAGGGATCCAGCTGAGGACCTGGATTCCATGGCAAGGTAATGTACAAGTCCAGCTGAAGACCTAGATCCCACAGCAATGTCTTCTGCAAGTCCAACTGGAGGTCTGGAGCCCATAACAATGTCTCATGCAAGTCTGTGTCAAGGATCTGCACTGGGAAGGCCCAGACGTCAGCTAGAAAGGGAAAGTCTGTGCCAGTGGGATGAGGGATCTGTGCTCAGCCCTGGAAGCTGAGGGATCTACCCAGGAGCCAGGAAGCAACGTTCAAGGACCAGAGCTCTCCTGAAGAGACCTGCAGCCATCCTCAGTAACAGTAACAGTAAGGACCCGAGCTTCTCCAACTATGAGAACGGCCAAGTTCATGTCAGGAAAACCAGCATGACAAGCTTCTTCAGGAGAATTAGCAGTGCATCATCTCCCCCTCCAGTTTTATTTTTATGCTGTTGACAACAATCCTCAGGTGGGCCTTCCACATCCAGTGCCATGCTAACTCAGTTCAGCCCACCAGTTCATCTACCACAGCATCTCTCCCATGTCTGATGCTGGGTTTAGCAGTTGAAAGCACTTACGCTAGGGGTTTGCTCAAGCAGAAAGATTCTCATTGAAATTCCATATTGTAAGCATTTGACATTTTCTCTCTTCCAAGACTCCTTTGTCCTGAGTTTTTCTTTTTCTTTCCTTGCCTGTCTACCATGCTTGCTGTATCTCTGAGCTGGTACCCAGACCACTTCTCTGGCCCCATGTAGGACGTTGGCAGGAAGCCTGTTAGGAAGCATAAGAAAAGGACATAGAAGAATTTGGGTTTTTAATTTTGAGATTTTTTTTTTCAGCGTTATAGTGACTTAGGACTTGCAAGGTGCAGTTAATTCCTGACTTCACATTATATTATTTATATATCTGATATTCCTATTACCAAATTTCTAGTTTTTGCTGCAATGAAATTCAAAGGTTTATGTTGGCTTCTCAAACTCTTTATTTATTTTACTTTATTTTGATTTATTTTTGTGCTCCCAGAGCTGGAACTCAGGGCACTCTGCCACTGACCTACATCCCCAGCCCTTCATATCTTTTAAATGGGATGTGTTAGCATGCTAAATTTAAAGAAAAATACCAGGCTGGACATAGTATTGCACGCCCAGAATCCCAGCACTCAGGAGTCTGAGGCAGGAGGTTTGCTGTGAGTTCAAGGCAAGCCTGGGCTACGTAGCAAGACAGTGTCTCAAAAAAAATTTAAAAACAAAAAGGAAAATACTAGAAAAACAAACAAAAAAACCCATTATATAACCAAAGAAGTACTGGCCCTCAACTCCCTTGGGAAGAAATATATTTGTTTAAGTGATGTCACTACTTCCCAATCGTTCCTTTAATGAAATGAAAGCGCTTTCATAGTTTTATTATCTGCTTTTTTAAACATGAAGCTCACCATTCATGTTTAAGCTTGCCTGCCATTCATTATTTCTAAAGCTCACCTCCAGAGGACTCTGGGCTGCTTTCAACAGTCAGATCATCCTCAAAGGAAGACAAGCTCTCCCTGAGAGGTACCAAAGCCACAGTCTGCGTCATAAGGAAGCATTTCCTGTAGCAGAATTTCAGAAAACGTTGTGGCAGAGCAGCACCAAGGGACTGACCACTAGTGAGGACTTACAGGCATGTGGTCGCATAGGGCCTGGTGGGCTGATCTTAAAATGTCTTCCATTGCTGCAGATTTATACTTCATTCTTACCTTGTATCCTGCAACTGCATCTGGTGACAGGGCATGTCAGCATCTGACGTTTTAATTTATGTGCACTGGTAACATTTTCAGGGCTTACTGTTCTAAAATCTACTTAGATGTCTCACCTCATTCCTTGTTTGTTTGGGGATCTACTTGGCAGGTAAAATATGTAGATGTTCTATTTTCATAGACACTTAGTACTAACTTGTGTTTGGTAGTTTTCTAGGTCTGCCCTTGTAGGGACTTTCAGGGTAATAGGCAGCATTAATATGGTTGTGTTGCTCAGTGCAGGTCCACTAAAGACCAAGACTCTTGGTGTGTAGTTTGTTAAGTCTTTCATTATCTTTTCTTTATACAGCAGTAAAAATGTGAGTAAAAGTCCACCCATCTCATAGGAATGTCAAAAAATAATACTAGTAATGTATTGCAAAGTTGAAATTCTTTGAAGAATAATTTCTGTAGTATTGTTATTTGAAAGACTGACCATAACAGTCATTTTATGAATTCTACTGATCATTAAAACATTTGACTCTTTTTCTTTTGTCCAGTACTGAGGACTGAACCCAAGGCCTTGCATATGCTAGATAAGTGCTCTACTACTGAGCCACAGGCCCAATCCTAGTCTGACCATTTTAAAAGTAAATACAGTAAGATATTTTTCAAGCTAAAGTAAAGTTGCCAAGATACTAGTGGTATTAAAAACCTGTACTTTTTAATTTTCATGTTTTAACTTCTATTCATGTTTATAACATTAGTAGTAGAGCTATATAAATTAATATGTAAGTGAGCAGCCAGTAAAAAAATTTGTCGTCATGGCATACATTGATTTTATGATTCTTCTATCTTGGTTTTAGCCAAAGTCATACACTTGCTATCAGAAAATTATGCTGGAAGAATTGCAATGGGAAAGTTGAACAGAATGAAGGAGAAGGTGCTGAATGGTTACATTTTGCAAGCTGTGGTGAAGATCACACTGTGAAGATATACAGAGTTAACAGATGTGCACTGTAATGGACTGAATAACCACGTGCTTTCAGTCATTGCTTCTTAAAGAGTTTATCACGTAAATACATCATCTTTACCTTCATAATTGAGTCGTTTCGTTTTTTAACTCAGCAGTATTCTTAAGAGTCTAGGCTGCCTACACCCTTAAAATCTAATGAGAGCTACAGACCTTTGTACTTATTAAATAATATACGCACACATACCCAGAACTTTGCTCTCAGTTTCAGAGATTCTTGGACACACAAGAGGGATTAAGAACATCTATTCTTCCTTCATGACCAGAGTTACTGGTTTTGTTGTTTTGGAACTTTTCACTTGCCTCTCTTAGTCTGTTTTGTGTGGCTGTAACAAACATCTGTGGCTGATTAATTCCTAAACAGGAGAGCTTTGTTTAGCTCCCATTGGTCCAAGAGCATAACCCAGTATCTTCTGGGCACTGATGAGGACCGCAGGCCTGTAGAATCATGATGGGAACATGTGGGGGAGGAAGGAGGTCTCATGTTGACATAGGAAGCAAGAGAGATTCAGGGGAAGTGTTGGACTTGCTTGTTACAACCCACTTTTATGGGGATGCGCTCCAACAGGATTGTACTTGTGTTCTGAAAGCATCATTCCCTCTTAGAGACTTAATTTCCTGTCCCTAGGTCCTGCCTCTTAAAAATTCTTCCACCTCATGATCACCATCACTGGGGACTAAGCCTCCAGCACATGAACATCTGGGGGACACACTCAAAGCATGTCCAAACCATAGCACCCCTTTGGGACACTTTAGAGGGTGAGCACAGAAAATAAAGAGAGAAAAAAGCCAAAATCATTAAGTTTTTATCATTCTTTGTAATAAACATACTGCACATAGTGTGGTAACTCTGACTTGACCCCTTACGCTGAAGCCATTTTTCCTATTGTCTGGATGCAAAGTACTTGGCTTCTTTTTAATGCTAATCTCCCACAACCAAGCTCTCTGCATCTTTGTGGGCCCTATCTGACAAAACTGATTTTGAGACAGAGACTTGCTATGCAGTTCAGGCTGGCCTTGAGCTCACTTTGTAGCCCAGGTTGGCCTCGAACTCCCAACAATCCTGCCTCAGCCTCCTGAGTGCTGGGATTACAGGTGTGTGCCACCATGCCTGGCCAAACTGGTAACTTTTAAAATAAGCCTTTTGGTTTTGATTTTCACTATACACCTGGCTAAAAGGGCCCAAAACATTCATCCCGAACATTTTGCTGTCTTAAAATTTACCCTAAGTTATCTGGAAAGTTCCAGGAAGTAAGGAGAATGTTGACAAATTTTCTGCCAGAGTATAATGACCTGGAGTCCAACTGCCAGTGCAGTGCTTGTTCCCAACCAAAGCCTCCTGAGCCTGGCTTTACCATCTGCATTTCTTTGAGCGTTCTGGTCTTCTGAGATCTGACCAGAATTTCCCATCAAGCTTGATTTACCTCTTTCTAGGGTTTTTTTCTTCAAACTTTTACAAACTAATCCCAAGAAACAGTTCCAAAGGCTTCTAAACCATGTAATGAGGTACTCAGAACAACAACCCCACTAATCCAGTACCAAAATCTGTCTTAGTCACTGTTATGGTTTGTGTCTGGATGTCCCCCCAACCCCTCATGCGGTCATGGGGTGGGCTTCTTGAGTTTGTGATTGATTTCATGGTCCAATGCTAGGATTATGGTTGTGAGTGCTACACCCACCCTGGGGCGAGTAGCCTGCAGACAATGTAAGGGAGGAAAAGAGGCCTGCTCACATGCTTCTCCCTTTTTGCTCTTGCTTTTGCTGTTCTCCGGCTGCCTGCCTTGCCATTTGCCGTAGGCTCTGTAGCCAGTTGAGTATGTACTAAAACCTCCACAAACTGAGCTAAATAAACCTTTTCCTCTTTAATTTGGATGTGGAGTATTTTGTTTCAGCAATGAGAGAAAAGTAGCTAAAACAGTTACTTTTCTTACTGCTGGGACACAATATCCAACCCTCACCATTTGAGAGGAGAGGTTTATTTTGCCTCACATTTCAGTCCGTAATCTGCTGGCTTCAAAGTGTTGTGTCAGGGAGGGGGTGTGTATGCACACCACACTAACTGCAGCCAACTGGAAATTCTAAACTTAATGAAGAATTAGAAATACAAGGTTAGAAGGGAGAACAAAAACTATCTGCATGAAAGGAGGAAAAGAGGACAGAAAGCTACCCTGTGAGAGAGTAGGGCTTTTAGAGCCAGAAAAAAAACCCAGTGGGCCCTTTGCTCTTGGCTGCTTTAATGGGAGCAAAAGGGCCCTTTCCCCTACCTGGAATTTGTCATAATCTGATTGGTTCCCTGTGCTGTCATAGATGAATCACAGGCCCCAAGACCCCTAACCCTCTACTCCATTGTCTATGTGCACATTCGTAAGTAAGCCTGTCAGAATCTTTAGTATTTATGGATTTGTTAACAAGGACCTTGCATACAAGGTTGCATTAGTAAGTAAGGGGGCTAGTGCACTAATATAGTGACCCTGCAGTGGGAATATCTATATAGATCTATATCATATTTATATATTATATATAATATATATTATATATTTTTATTTATATCATATATTAATATATATTTTTTTTCTTTTAAGTGGCTTCCCCTTGTCTCCCTTGCATTTTATTGGAGGTGGGTAAGGGATGGCTCCTTCGGCATCTAGCACCTTGCTTCCGCTGTGCTCTGCCTGTGCACCTCCCTTCTTACCTTGGTAATTGCTTTCTCCAGTGAAGCTTTAATGTTTTCTAGTCAGGATTAGCCAGAAAACCCACTAAGAGCTTTCCTTATTTACAGACCCCTTTGCCATACAAAGGCACAGGTGCATGACAGAGGAGAGTTGCTCATGGCATGGCAAACAGGAAGCAGAGAGAGCTTTTTCTTTACAGATACATGGGTTCTGCTTTTAGGGGTTTATTTAAAACAGACTATCCTGGCATTGAAGCCTAACGTGAAAATGAGTTTGCATCAGTCCTTTTGGGACATGAATCATCTGGCAAATTGAATATGTCGAAAGAAGGAAGGTGAAGACTTTCTTGGAGGTGAGATAGGATTTAGGTCGTGGCTTAGGTGCAGGGAGAAGAGGCATGGTGGGATCTCAGGATCTACACAGCTCTATCTCTCAGGACCCTGTAGATGTGGATGACATAAAGGAGACAGGACTCCATGAAGAACCCGCCACTGGGACTCTTCACAATAGCCCAGCCTGTGTTTTCCAGACCAGGGTGTATTTTTTTTTTTATTATTTTAAAGAATAAAAGAAGGATAACATAATAATAGGGGGGACTTAGCAAATTACAGACAAAATGGTAGGAAATTATCAATGGTTATCGTTTTACATATTATTATCTACAAAATAGTTTCTCAGGAAAACAAATAGACAAATAATAGTGAGTTAGAGACAAAAGAGGTAGGAGATTATCAAGAGTTGTTGTACTATACTTTGGTATCTTCAAAGTGGCTTCTAAAGAAAATAAATAGAGCTATACATGAGTGACCTATTGAAAAATCATTAACTATTCTCAATGGTTGTTGTAGGAAACACATAATAATAAACAGACATCCATTTATGAAATAGGATAGGAACATTACAAACTTTACACAGTTATGGATAGATTAGTAGGAAAATATCAATGGCTGCTGTAATACGTGGTGGTATCTTCAAAGTGGTTTCTCAGGAAGACAGAGATATGCAAGAAGGACCTATTAAGTAGTTACAGCCTAAGGGTTGTCAAAAATAGCATATTACCTCCTCACCAGTGACTCCTTTCACTGAGGTATGATGGCTGGAAGGAAGGCCAGGATTGAAAAGAAGGACCGAGAGACTTGCACCTGTGTCTAGCAACAGGCTGTTTTCTTGTTCCTCCATAGTCATGATTACCCAGGGCTCCTCGATGGAGATGACGGTCTGGCCAGAGGGAGAAGGCAGACCATGCCCCAAGCCCTCTCATTCCTGTTGGACTAACTGGTAGCATGGGTCTGAGCTCTGGGGCCTCCACCTCAGAGGGCAGACTGATCTCCAGTGGTCTCCTTTGCATCCAGGGCATGGCCCATGGGGCCTCTTAGGGCAGTTCCTCTTGAGGTGGCCTGGCTTTTAACAGTGGTAGCCGATGAATGCAGTTGTCGAGTTCTTCTTGGAGCCCCGGGAATCAGACCTGGGATCTGTTTCTCTTAGTGGTGCAGCAAGAGCAGCTGCTTTTTCTCAGTCTCTTTGTTTTCTCTCCTTGGCCTCCTCCTCATCATGGCTATAGAGTACTGAGGAGGCAATTCTTACTAACATCTCAAGTGAGCTATCTGGGGTGAAAGCCATTCTTTGTAGCTTTTTCTCTCCAGCTTCCCATTGCTTTGGGACCCCACAACCAGTTAGTGTCCTCTCCCCAACTGTCAGCACAGTCAGCAGGAATCCTGCTGCAGACTTCTCCGGAGCTCCACCACAGCCTGTACTGTCAGGGGAAGAATGGCTTCCAATGAGTCTCTGCAAGTATTGTGCAAGGTCCTCCTGGTTTACAGCTTCTGAGCGGCTCTGGGGACCTCAGTCCACAGGACCTCTGACTCCGTGGGCTTGCTCTGCATTCTCATGTTCTCTGAGTCCTTGTTCAGCAGCTGCTCCTCCACTGACTCTGGACCTTTCTGGTTCCCAATGGCAGGAGCAAGAGTGGCCCATTATATGGCATGTATTCCCAGGGGTTGTTCAAAGTTTCAATGATTCACACACATCCATGGGTGGGCAACTGCTGTTGGTGCATGGTGGGCCAATTGTGTCACTGTTTCTCTGTGTCATGATAGATCTCAATTGAGCGGCGGCGGCGGGGGCCGGCCTAAGGCCCGGCGCGCAATAGCGCTCGCCACCGCATGGCCCACCCTCCGGGAGCCAGCAGGCAGGAAGCTAGCCAGCCAGAAGGCTGGCGCTCCCCACCCCCAGCTCCCTGTGGGCCGGAAGCCCTCCTTCCAGGGAACGACGAGGCTGGGAGTGAGTCGTCGGTCCAAAGACCAGCGCTCCCCGCCCGAGGCTCCCCGTGCGCTAGGGGCCCACCCTCAGGGAGCCACCAGGCAGGAAGCTAGCCAGCCGGAAGACTGGCGCTCC